GTTTTGGGGTTTGGGGGCACCATGAACCTTTTGGACCCACCATCAAGGACCCACCAGAGCCAGTTTTGGGGTTTGGGGGCACCATGAACCTTTTGGACCCACCATCAAGGACCCACCATCGCCGGGTGCCTGCTCCAGACCTTGTCCTGCTTCTCCTAAGCCACAGCTCAGCTGGTTCCTGCCCCACGGCTCAGCCCGTGCCAGTCCAGGGGTGACACTCCAACCCTCCATCCCATGTGCCAAGAGGGAGGGTGGCAGAGCCCCCCTGTCCCTGGTAGAGCCCCCTGTCCCTGGCAGAGCCGAGCAGGGAACCCCTGGACTGCTCCAACCCCACCTCCCACCCCGAGCAGGACCAGGCAGCCCTGGAAGCAGGAATTCCAACGCTCCCACCTCACAGAGCTGGAACGGGCTGAGCCTTTCCTGCCCACAGGGCCCATCCTTCCTCTTCCCAAAGGGATTTCCCCCCCCAGGTTGTCTTACCTACGGATTTTGTCCGTGGAATTCCTTTGCGCAGGGAAACGTGGGGCTTCTCAGCTCCCGCCAGGACCCCCGAGTGTGCTGCCATGCCCTGGCGTTCAAAGAGGGACTGCAAGGCAAAACCAGGGAATTCCCAGTCTGGATATCAGCCAGACCCAGCTGGGAGGAGCCCACAGGTCCCCTCAGCCCTCCTGACCCTCCAACTGATCCCAGGAAACGGGATCTGCCCGCACGGCCCCGTCCCTGTGCCCGGGGACAGGGATGGACCCCCCTCACCTGCACCTTCCCCCGCACCAGGAACCTTCTGGAACAGGGCCAAGGACCCACCACACCTGGGGTTTGGGCTTGGGGGCACCAGAAACCTTCTGGGACAAGGTCCAGGACCCACCAGAGCTGGTTTTAGGGTTTGGTGGCACCATGAACCTTTGGGGACAATGTCAAGAATCCTCCTCTGGTGAGATCTGGTGCAGCTCTCTGGTGAGATCTGCACTTCCCTGTCCTTGCTCCTGCCCCATCCCTGGTCTCCAAACCCTGGGATGTTGCCCTTGGCAGGGTTATCCCCCCATCCCCTCTCCCTGCCCGCTCCGTGCCCAGGGTGGCACAGTGAGGGTGACTCCCACGGGCAGCCTGTGCCCGGTCAGGAGCTGCCTGTCCCACCTTCCCTCCCGCTCCAGGTGCTGCTTCCCACCCCCTGCAGCCCTGGGACAATCCAGCCATGCTGGAGCTGGCACAGCCCCTCCTGCTCCCTCCCTGTTCCCTCGCCTCTGATTCCATCCCAATCCCAGCCCCCCATCCCGAGGGCTCAGCGCTCCAGCTCAGCTTTCCACACTCCTTCAGGCCTGCTCTTATACCCTTCCTGGGAAATCCAGCCAGGTTCCCAGGCCTGGATGGGGTTCCCAGAGAGCTGAAACCCCCCCTCAGCCCCAGCTCCTGCCCTGAGCCTTGGTGTTCCCAGACACTCTCCTTCCTTATTCCTGGGGAATCCCCCCTCCCAGCACAAGCCCATCAGCAGCTCCACTTGGCACCACGTGTTCTCCCCTCCCTCTCCCTCCATGCCCTCTCCTCCCTCTCCCACCATGTCCTCCCATCCCTCTCCCTCCATGCCTTCCCACTCCTCTCCCTTCATGTCCTCCCCCTCCCTCTATGTCCTCTCTTCCCTCTCTCTCTGTGTCCCCTCCTCCCTCTCCCTCCATGTTCTCCCATCCCTCTCTGTGTCCTCCCATCCCTCTCTCTGTGTCCTCTCCTCCCTCTCTCTGTGCCCTTCCATCCCTCTCCCACCATGTCCTCCCATCCCTCTCCCTCCATGCCTTCCCATTCCTCTCCCTTCATGTCCTCTCCTCCCTCTCCCTCCGTGTTCTCCCATCCCTCTCCCACCATGTCCTCCCATCCCTCTCCCTCCATGCCTTCCCACTCCTCTCCCTTCATGTCCTCCCCCTCCCTCTATGTCCTCTCTTCCCTCTCTCTCTGTCCCCTCCTCCCTCTCCCTCCATGTTCTCCCATCCCTCTCTGTGTCCTCCCATCCCCCTCTCTCTGTGTCCTCCCATCCCTCTCTCTGTGTCCTCTCCTCCCTCTCTCTGTGCCCCTCCATCCCTCTCCCACCATGTCCTCCCATCCCTCTCCCTCCATGCCTTCCCACTCCTCTCCCTTCATGTCCTCCCCCTCCCTCTATGTCCTCTCTTCCCTCTCTCTCTGTCCCCTCCTCCCTCTCCCTCCATGTTCTCCCATCCCTCTCTGTGTCCTCCCATCCCCCTCTCTCTGTGTCCTCCCATCCCTCTCTCTGTGTCCTCTCCTCCCTCTCTCTGTGCCCCTCCATCCCTCTCCCACCATGTCCTCCCATCCCTCTCCCTCCATGCCTTCCCATTCCTCTCCCTTCATGTCCTCCCCCTCCCTCTATGTCCTCTCTTCCCTCTCTCTCTGTGTCCCCTCCTCCCTCTCCCTCCATGTTCTCCCATCCCTCTCTGTGTCCTCCCATCCCTCTCTCTGTGTCCTCTCCTCCCTCTCTCTGTGCCCCTCCATCCCTCTCCCACCATGTCCTCCCATCCCTCTCCCTCCATGCCTTCCCATTCCTCTCCCTTCATGTCCTCTCCTCCCTCTCCCTCCGTGTTCTCCCATCCCTCTCTGTGTCCTCAGTGCCTCTCCCCCCACTCCCTCCTATCCCTCTGCCTCCCTTCCCTCCCTGTCCCTCCCTCCCTGCCCTGGCTGTCCCTGTCCCTCACACTGATCTCTGCAGGGGTGATCCTCCGGCTGGTTGGTCTCTGTTTCACAGTGGCTGCCCTGGAATCTGCTTCCACGATATCCGCCCTCAGCGCCGGCTCTGCGGCCGCCAGGATCTCATCCAGCTTCTCTGCAATCCAAGGGGGAAAGCCAAGGGGTCAGGGGGGGCCAGGGGACACCTCCCCTCCGACAGCCCCGAGCAGGGAGCGCGGGGAGCTCGTCCTCTCCTCCCCAGCCAGCAGCTTTCCAAGGATTTGGGGGGGATTTGGATCCCGCTCGGCTCAGGGTGGCACCGTGCCATGCCATGCCATGCCGGGCCACCTTCCCACCCCATCCTGGCGGTGCCTGAGCCGGGCTCTGACCTGCCAGCACCCGAGGGGCCGCTCCTGGCTGTGCCACATTCCAAGGAATCCTCCATCTCACACGAAAGAGCAAATTTTTCCCAGATTTATTTTTGATACTCGGGACGAGCCGAGTTCCCCCGGGCGGGCAAAGGAGGAGTGGGAGGTGATGGGAAACCCGGGTGCCACAGGGACCACGGACACGTGGATGTCCATGGGATTCCATGAGGCTCCAGCACAACCAGTGTCACTCCAGAGTCTGGGAAAAACTGGGATGTGTCCATCTGAGTGGACTCAGGTGCCTGAATGGCCCCGACATTCCGTGTCCCCAGCACAACCAGTGTCACTCCAGTGTCTGGGACAAACGGGGATGTAACATCCTGCACCTCTCCAGCTCTCCTGGAGCCCCTTCAGGCACTGGAAAGGGCTCCAAGGTCTCCCCAGATCCTTCTCTTCCACTCCAGAAAGAGCATCCCGGAGCCACCTCCGCTGCCAGAACACCCCGGTGGCCTCCAGTGGATTGTCCTCACCCAGGGGACCCTGGTGTGGCCCCTCAGGGCACTGGGGGATGTGCCCAGTGCAGGGGAGGGTCGGGGGTCCCTCAGAGTCCCCCCACACCTCATCCCTGCCCGGCTGCCTCCCTGTCCCCCCCCCACTGCAACGGAAGAGCTGGTTCCTCACATTCCCAGCTCCTCGGGGAGCAGGAGCAGGGACAGGAACCCCCAGGACAGTTTTGCCTCTGAAGGGTCAGAGCTGAGCTCAGGCCTCCAGGGCTCCCTCCCCTCTGCCCCAGGGCTGTGCTGCGGGAACACGGAGCTGGATGAGCCTCCGGCTCCTTCCCCATTGTCCATTCCTGGCTCTCGGCCCTGGCAGGAATCCCAGAGCGGTTTGGGTTGGAAGGGACCTTAAAGCCCACCCTGTTCCAACCCCTGCCAGGGGCAGGGACACCTTCCATCGAAACCCTCCTGGTTTTGTCACGTCCCTCCTGTGACATCCCCGGCACAGCCTCAGAGTGGGAGCAGTGGGAATGCCGGGAGCAGCGGGACAACCTGCACAGGGGCAGGAGCAGAGACTTGGGACATTTGGGACAATGCTGGACACGGCACAGCCCCTTCCCCTGGACGGGGATGGCACAGCCCCATCCCCTGGACGGGGATGGCACAGCCCCTTCCCCTGGACGGGGATGGCACAGCTCCTTC